TCAAAACTATGATGACATAATACGAGTAAAAATAATGATGAAAAGGACCACAAATAACAAAAATGGGCAAAGTTACTGATTACGCTATTACTAATAGTGTTGATCACGCCATTACTACTAGCACTAATTATGCAATTATTACTATCACTGATTACACCATTACTACTAGCACTGATTACGCTATTACTACTAGTGTTGATTACACCATTACTACTTGCGCTGGTTTTACAATTACTACTAGTGTTGATTACACCATTACTGCTAGCACTGATTATGTAATTATTACTAGCACTGATTACACCATTACTAAGTGTTGATTACACCATTAATACTAGTGTTGATTACACCATTACTACTAGCACTGATTGCACCGTTACTCCTAGCACTGATTACGCTATTACTAGTGTTGAATACAGCATTAATACTAGCACTGATTATGCAATTACTACTAGTGTTTATTTCTTCATTACTACTAGCACTGATTACGCTATTACTACTAGTGTTGATTACGCTATTACTACTAGCACTGATTATGCAATTATTACTAGTGTTGATTACGCCATTACTACGAGCACTGATTACGCTATTACTACTAGTGCAGATTACGCCATTACTACTAGCACTGATTATGCAATTATTACTATCACTGATTACTCCATTACTACTAGCATTGATCACGCCATTATTACTAGCACTAATGATGGAATTACTATTAACACTGATTACTCCATTACTATTAGCACTGATTACGCTATTACTACTAGTGTTGATTACACCATTACTACTAGTGTTGATTACACCATTACTACTAGTGTTAATTGCACCATAACTACTAGTGTTGATTACACCATTATTACTAGTGTTGATTACACCATTACTAATAGCACTGATTACTCCATTACTACGAGCACTGATTACGCTATTACCACTAGTGCAGATTACGCCATTACTACTAGCACTGATTATGCAATTATTACTATCACTGATTACTCCATTACTACTAGCATTGATCACGCCAGTATTACTAGCACTGATGGAATTACTATTAACACTGATTACTCCATTACTACTAGCACTGATTACGCTATTACTACTAGTGTTGATTACACCATTACTACTAGTGTTGATTACACCATTACTACCAGCACTGATTACTCCTTTACTACTAGTGTTGATTACACCATTACTACTAGCACTGATTACACCATTAGTACTAGCGTTGATTACACCATTACTACTAGTGTTGATTACACCATTACTACTAGTGTTGATTACTCCATTACTACCAGCACTGATTATTCCATTACTACTAGTGTTGATTACACCATTACTACTAGTGTTGATTACACCATTACTACCAGCACTGATTACTCCATTACTACT